ACAATATTATATGTGAGACACAAGTACTTAACTTTTATTGTAATATGTTAAAATTGTATATAAATTAATAAACAATAGTAGTTGATTGGTTATAATATTTATAAAAGTAATGTATTATGCTTGTAAGTTAATTATAGTACTTTTAGTAAGATAATATACAATTATATATATTAATATTGTTAACAATCACTCTGTTAGACTTATAATATAATTTGGTTTTACTTTTAAACAATATATTGAAGTGATTACATAATCAAGTACTGAAGATCAAGTGCATATAATGTAGTGCTCTGTGTGTAGTGTATACACTTATGTGCATAAATTCTCTAACATATACACATACATGTGTAAAAATACATGTGTAAATGTAGAGTCTGGGGGAGCTATACAATACACTAGTAGCATATACAGTATATACAGTGTATACACTTACAAAGAAGGTATATAGGTAGTGTAGTTACTATAGACATTGAATATAACTAAATAGACTTGTTCACTACCTTCAAAGTATGCTTTACTATCATCAAGTCCCTAATAGTTCTAGGGCAAAGGCTTGAATGATGAAAAGCAATAGTATCTTGTCCAGATGAGAAGATCCATTCAACAGCAACAGAAGAACCTGTAAAACAGACCTGAATATTATTTGAAAATGATGCAAAGAACAACATACCTGGAATACAATGTATATCCTGAGCAAATAGTGATAGTAAAGGAAACTGAGCACATTGGCCAGCCCACCATTTGACAGGGTCACAGTCTGTCTATGACCATTCCTGCTTCATAGAGAAGTACTCCTTAAGCTCAGTGTTACTGTTTGACAGCTTGTTGGTGGAGAAAAGACTCACAATATTATGTACACTTGTTTCAGTATTGTCCATGAGAGCATCTGAAGAGATTGTATTGCCTTAATAACAAATAATGTAAGTTGAATGAAAATGTTCCTTGAGCATACACTTTGCCTCATCAATGAGTTGTAACAGTCAGGCATTACTAATAGCATTCTGTTTCATTCTAGAGTATAAGATATGAGGGTCTAAGACTAAGGATATAGACAAAAGTATAAGTACTGATGAGTGAGAGTAAGGTAACAACTTACATGTAGCTCATAAGTAATAAGGTGATGCAACAAACCAGGTAAGATAGTTAGCAAGTTTCTTGTGTGCTACACATAGTGTATCTTTTAGTTGTAGTAGTACAGTAGCAGGAAACTCTTGTATTGCTTTGTAGAGACTGTTCTGGAGGTGTAAAAAGTACCCATATACTGAAGATAAGGTAGGAATCTTTGTAGCTGACATAGTAGTTGTTACATGTTGGAAATGATGAAGCCAAGATAATACAAGCTCAATTGTAGCCCAGTCCTTTGTATCAAGCTCATAGTTGTAATACTCACACTTAGTACAAAATGTGTCTATAGCCTTTTGAAAGCAGAGTACACAACCTGTAAAATTGAATTAGAGATATATAAATGTGTAAAACATTACTTACAAAGTATATAGTGAGTAGAAGACTATTGTGTTGAGACATTAAGGATGAGCATGAGAGCTATCTGGCCTCTTTCTTGCTCCTTCTCCAATAACATTAAAGTAGTAGCTTGTACCCACTCCTGCCAGTGTTGAGCACTTGCCCTTATTATACAAACAAATTTTCTTAACTTTAAAAAGACTTAGACACTTTTCAAGTAATATATTACTATGTTAACATTTATTTCGGATAAATGCATCATATGTCTCAAATCATGCAAACGTCTTGCAAATATACACTATTGCTGAGACATGTCTTCCAAGACATACATCTGAGACATACAATATTAGATAGCATATATATTACTTTAATCTAAGGACAATGAAGCTCATTAAGAACTTATACACAGTCGACTCGTATTGACACCTACACACTATGAGCAGAGTCCACTGAACCCCTACTAGTGTGACTTACTCTTAGTATCCTTGTGAGCAGTGTGCAAACCTATGGAAGAATATTTCCTATCAATTAGGAAACATTGTGACCTCAAAACACTAACAGGTTATGAGCCTTACACTCCCTGCTCATATCTACATTGTTACTATGCTTTTATCTTACCCTCTACAAACGCAACGCTTTGAAATCATCATCTTTGCAATTATGATTTCCCCCTCAGTAGTTATATGCATGACTATATGCACCACAATTGTCATCTCGAATGCTTCAGTGTACTATACACTATAGTACAAATGATTTGATACACTCAATCATATTATACTCAATAAGTATCATTGAACTACTCCATTTAACACTGAATCCACTTGATTCTACATGTACAATCTATTCTACTCGTCTACTAACCTTTGACACTCTCATCTGAGCATACCAAATGTGAATCGTCTTGTCTGGAAGACTACAATCGCTTTATACAACAAGATATGGTTGATACTTGTAACCAGAATGTATTATCTACATGGACCTAGACACACCTGTCTGAGCATCCCAAACACACATCGATTTATTAAACTAACAAGACATGTATTGGATACACAATACAAGACATATATTGGATACAGACAATGTATTAGATGTCTAAGACATACAGACGGATGAACTAGTTGCTTTAAATACAATGAGTACTCAATAATACTATATCTAAACACTGAATTACTTCATCTTACACCATGGAGACACATTATATTAATAATGTCTCACATAACAAACAAACATTTGATAGTATATCAATAATATAAATGATTAATACAATAAACGAAAGAACAATGCTAGC